TTGAGTTTTTGAATGAAATCAAATGTTCGGGAATCCCAAACCACAAGATAGTTTTAAAAAAAGGGGGTACCAATCATGTTACTGAGGAACATTGACCAAACATCTGGATTGTGTAATGGTACAAGATTAATTGTTGACGAGATGCGAAAGAATGTTATCGGTGCTATTGTGGTTTCGAGAAATCGAGTGGGCGAAAAAGTTTACATACCCCGGATGAATTTGGTACCGTCTGATCCAGGACTACCTCTAAAGTTCTAGAGAAGACAATTTCCAATAGTCTTATGTTTTGCTATAACTATTAACAAAAGTCAAAGTCAAACATTATCATTTGTTGGATTATTTTTAACCAAGTCAGTGTTCACTCATGGTCAGCTCTATGTTGCTGTTTTGCGAGTGAAGACAAAGACAAGATTAAAAATATTAGTCTTAGATGACAATGGAAATCCTTGCAGCCATACCAAAAATGTTGTATACCCTGAAGTCTTTCAAAAAATTTGGTATTAAAGCAAACTTTGTTTTGTGTAGATTCAATTCCTCATATATTATTCTTTTTACTTTGCCTTTCTTTTATGTGTTATTATAAATCATGCATGAGGTATATTTTTTTATTCCAAAAAAAATATTAAATTGAATAAATTCAGAATCGACAAGATATTCGTCCGAACCCGTGCGTGGCACGGGTAGGAATACTAGTTAATAAAAATACGGAGTCGTAGTATTTTCTTTTCTTCTTACCTCCCAAATTCCAACCAAACATAGTGTTACGGATTATTTTGAAATCCGGTTTTCTTTCGATCGCCGTGGCTCTTCTCCCGTCTTCAACATCATTCCCTCTCCACACCAGGTACGCTTCTCTCTCCCTTTCTCATTCTCTTTCATCACCCCCTTGTCTTCTTTCCGATCGTATGGTCGCCGGCTCTGGACTGTTGCTGCCGGTTAATCCCGGCTGTGGTCGCCGTTGATTTGTTGTATTGCTATTTTAATTTTCCGGAGAAATTTATTTACTGAGTATTATATTGGCTGCTCTTTCTAACTTTGGTTCTTCCCCTGATCTGTCTGTGTTACTTTGTGTGAGAAGAATCAATGTATACATTTTTATTCTCTAAATATGAGTTCGCAGTGTCGTGTATGATAATTAGTGATGTAAATGTATTTTAACCCCTATTTCGGGAATAAATGTAATTTAACCCAATTTTCAGGAATAAAAATATGAAACTACTATTTTGGTATATTTTCAATGTTTTACTCCTATGTTAATCTTTTTTCCCCTTAAAGAATCATCTTTTTGAGTGTTCCAGATCAAATTTAGAGTTTAAAAGCATTCACAAACACCCTCTTTATATCAAACCAAGAAATATCAAGCAAAACATATTTTAGTGGTATCTTTTTTATATAAAAAATGTCAATGGTCCTGATTATGAATCAGATATCTCAAATATAAAAAATTTGCTTCATATAGTTTTTGAAAACTCATATTCACATTTGACTCTCACATGTCCAAACAATTCAATATACCCGTTTATAAGCACATGGTACATCGGAATTATTTAGGAACATATTTTCTATATGCTTCTGCAACACCGTATGTCAGAATAATATAATCTACAAAGGTGTGACATATTTATGTATGATGGTTTCTAGCTTGGAAATTCCAATATTCTACTAATATGGTGCATCTTATATGTTATGCAGAGCTTATCTAATGGATGTACTGGATATTGACCAGCTGGAGGAAGTGCCAGATACCCCCATTAGAACCATGAAAATTGTTATTCGACCCCCAAGAAGAAACTGTGGTTCTGAGCATTCTGGACAATCTCCGCATAATAAGGACATTGGCGGAGTTAAAAAGGAGAGAAGCACTTCAGAAACTCGTTCAGAACAGGGAAATTTTTCAACTCAGCAGAGTAAGAACCAGCTGATCACCAATGGCATTGGAGCAAGGAGATCTTTAATTCGTGGTTCTCCAAGAACCAGTGGTTCTGGACATTCTGGTCAACTGGACTGCCATGCAAAGTCTTTGACTTCCGGAGTACATGATTTTCCTTCAAGAAATGATTTTTTGTTTGCAAGGAATGATTTAAGTGGAAGGCAAGAGGACCCAGTGTGGAATCCTCACGTATCTGCCTGCAAAGGTGGTGCATTCGTTGCAAGTTCGACAGACCAAAGCAGGTCGGCCCTTGGACTGCCAGAAAGTAGCCTAGGCGAGGATTTTAAAGGGGGGGCTGTATCAAGTAGTAAGTTCTCTTATGTACAAGATATGGAAAAGCTTTCATTGGCCACAAATAATTTTCACAAAGTAAAAGAAATTGATGATCAAACTAAAGTTGGTGTGCATATCAATCCTCGAGAGAGGAAAGAGCTTGCTCATAATGTGAAGCACGATGTCATGAAGAACGGCAATGCTTCTGTTGTCACCTTTCCCAAGGTCACTGGGAAAAGGAGATTGGTACGGAATGGATGTATATCTCCACATAACATAGTGAAGGCCAAGCAGGCAGTTGGGAAGGATCACAGTGGTTTCTTAACTGTTGAACAAAGTTGTACCAGTTTTCCTGCAACGTCAAGCAGTTCAAAGGATCTATCTAATGTTATAAATTTGGTGTCGGAAGACCTTAGCTCTTGCTCAGCTAAAGGCAAAGGAGTGATGGTGCATCCTTCTTCTTTCTCAGAACCAAATGCGCAACGTGCAAATACATCCTCTAGGTACTTAGAAATGATAAGTTGTTTAAACCCCAGCGATATGGCTCGTATATGATTGGTTTTTTTTGTCTCCATCTGTCAATAAAATTGACTCTAGATGTGAAATTTGAAAGAATGGTCCTGAAATTTTTAAAAGGGTTCACATGCATTACTGTTGGTACATGGCTGAAATCACGTCACAATGCTGATGGAATGGGTAGTCCATAAATCAGTTCACGTTGTGGATGAGTATGATTTTTATTTGTTCCCAGTGAATTTATGTGAAGTTGTCCATATGATGTGCATCTTCATTGTGCCAAAAAGAGTTTTTTTTGTTTTCATTGAGATATTCAGATTCAGATTTATTTTGTAGTGAAAATCAGATGTGCAATGGGGTATATTAATTTTTTTCGTCTGGTACATGTAACTGAAATTCAATCGTGCTACCTGTTGCATACTACTTAGAAGATGTGCTTCCTATTTCAGTAATTTAAAAGTCAATAGCTTAAATTTAATTTAGATTATGACTCTTATCATGTTGTTTCTTTGTTGTAATTGCTTGCAGAAATATTGTGGTTATTGATGATGAAATGGCTAAACCTGATGGTGCCAATCAGAATACTGTCAGAAGCAGTGAAGAGGCTGGATGGAGAAGTACACGAAATCGAAGTCAGAGAAAGTCGTTACAAAAAGAAAAGGAAAGAGACTCCCAGAGTCATCAAAATAGTTCCACGTGCAAGGATTTATCACAATCTTCTAGACAGATGGCAGTGCATTTTGGGCAACAAACAGGTTGTGTTGATGATCACCATTCTGTGATAGATTCACTTGGCAAAAGACAAAAGCGAGGATCTACTTCAAGCATTCATGGAGAGTGTTCTACGTCAGCATTTGATGATTCAGACATTGTGTTCATTGGATCATCTAAGGATGTTAGTAATAATAGATCAGGAGGGAACCAAAACCATCAAGGAAGAGATTTCTTAGCACCAAGTGTTGATGTCGGTGATAGCTCCTCTCAAGCAAGAAATCACAGTTCTCAAGGTTTAACTTTAACATGCGAAAGGGATGGAGATACTAGAGTCAGACAGGTAGAAGCAGACGAAATTCTTGCACGTGAGTTACAAGAGCAACTATACAATGAGTTGCCTATTCTTGGAGTTACAGAGGTATTCCTTTTTTCACATATCTGTGTGTATCTGATGTCATATTGATGTCATATAGATATGCGTGTTTAGTGAGTCTCTGTCTATTAATTTAGCTTTGCATTAATATAATGTTTCATTTTTCAATTTTTATTTCCATCTTGAAACAGATTGATGAACATTTTGCAAGGGATTTGCAACAAGGTGATGTACACCATGCTTTCGGTGGCGAAACTAACACAATTACGAATGTAATCTCTCTCTCTCCTCCCCTTTAAAAATTGCAAAAAGTAAGACTGCTTGTCTTCTTTTTTAAGTTGAATTGCATTATATGTTATGCTTAAACTGTAAGCTTGACCTAAAAATCTGGGAAGGACAATACACTCAGAGGCAAAGCACTCCCCTGTTCTATTTTGTCTGTGATGCCCTGTTTATATGTTTTGATTATTGATTAATTCAGCTCTTATTTTTTCACGTTTTTCAATATTTTGTAATTAATTTTAAACTTTGTTTTCGTGTTTAGTAATTATTAATGTATATAACTTCTCAAAAGTAAATGTTGCAAAAACTGAATTGTATAAATAGTGTATGTCAGTTTTTCTTGCGTATGCCAGAGTACCAACATAGGGAGACATAAAGTGATTGTTGGAGCATTGTTATGTAAAAATGTCATGCTAAATAATAAATTCATGCAATTTTTTGCTTAATATGATTGTAATACTTAAACTTTTTCTCTTTCAATTTATAGAGAACTAGATCAGTTGCAAACTCACGAAGGCATCCCCACATACAATCTTCAACTAATGTTTCTCGTAGATCGTCTTTAGTTCGAGCATTTAATAACAGAGCAGTGACTTCGAGGTCTCGTTTTCCGGGACAACCGCGCACTCTAGCACAACCAAGACATAGGAATTCTGTTTTTCACCCTAGCGTGAATGTGGAAACGGTACATTACTATATTTTTTCGTTTGATCTGCTATATTTTGCAATTTCTTGTATTTAAGTGGATACGTAAAGATCATATCTAATTTTGTTGGCATGTTCACTGTGCCTGTTAATCTGTTATATTACTAGTTTCTCTGGATTTACTAAAATATACAAAGGATCATTTGAAGCGAGACATGGAGAAGAATGGAAAAGACCAAAAATCTAGTAGCATAAAGAATGTGCTATTGAGCTTTTTGTTAAGGAAATTTCAGCACAAATAATAGGCTGTAGTGAGTGAGCAGTTTAATGGAGTTCAATAGGAACATAAAGATAGAATGTAAGTGCCCATATTTTCCATGAGTACAAAGAGACAAGGCATGCCGCATGTACTGCCATTACTTCATCATACAGTTAAAAGGAATTGGTTTGGATTAAACACAAGGTTATGGAAATTTGATGTGAGGCTTGCAGTACAACTCTTGTTAAATCCAATTCATTGTTGTTTGTTTTTATTACTTTGTATCTTCTTTTGGGTGGTGGAGCGTTTAGTATATGCTTTAGTACTTATTTTTTTGGTTGAAAGCGCGAGGGAGGTGTGTGTTACGGAGCATCAAGTATGTCTTAACTTAAAGTTTAAGCCATAGTTTGAACTCATAATTACTTTATGCTCCCACAGTTCCATAAAAAGGTCATATTTTAAAGCTCATTTTTGTCCCAAAAAAGAGTGCAAGTTTGTACTGATGAGGAGGCTAGGGTGTCGTTCAGAGTGGAGTATAAGATTGCCCATAAGGAAGCTAAGTTAGAGGTTACAAGGGGAAGAATGCCGCCTTTAAATGCCTAGGAGAATGTGAGATGTGCATCATGTCTTAACTGAAAGTTTAAGCTATATGTTTGAACACATAATTACTTTATGCTCCCACAGTTCCATAAAAAGGTCATATTTTAAAGCTCATTTTTGTCCCAAAAAAGAGTGCAAGTTTGTACTGATGAGGAGGCTAGGGTGGGAAGCTAAGTTAGAGGTTACAAGGGGAAGAATGCCGCCTTTAAATGCCTAGGAGAATGTGAGATGTGC